GGGGGGGGCGGATAGGACGCTAATTCGGCAGACCGCCACGCCACTGGGCCGGCGGTCCTGGCTGGACGCGGTTACCAACACGGCCCTCCCTCCCCACCCCCCCAAACCCGACGCGGCCGCGGCCCTCGCACGCGACGGCCACGTGGACGCCAGGACGCGGACCGCGGTAGGGCGCCGGGTATGCCCCCTCCCCCTCCTCTCTCCACAGCCCGTCAGGCGCCCGCTGATGCTACACTAACCACCTCAGAGTAGAGTCCTGCTGTCAATGACGGGAAAAAGGGGAGAACATGTTGGTCTCCAAGGGAAGATCAGCGTGGCTCCTCGGCTGAGGGCCCGGGTGCGGGCGAGGCGGAAGAGGTGCACACGGCTGCTGCCCCCCCCTCCCCCTCTCTCTCTTTCTTGCTCGCCGCGCAACCTGCTCCTGCTGCTCGTGACCTCGCCTCGCCGGGGGCCCGAGAGACCAGCCGGTAGAATGGGAAAGGGTAAAGGCAAAGGCGTAAACGCGTCGCGGCGTGCAGGGAGAGGCGGTGCATGCACCCGCAGCGCGGGCGGCCCGCAGGTTTGGACAGGCTCTGGCTCTTCCTCGAGCCCCACCCCGCCCCACCACGCCCCGCCACGCCCCGCCCTGCTGCACTGGCCTGGTGCACCCTGTAGTGGCGCCCGTGGCCCGCGGGGCCGGCGGGCGTTACGCTTCGCGGAGTAAGCGGCGACGCAACTCTGCGTAACGAGAAATGGGGGGGGGGGGGCACTGCGTAAGTATCCATGCAGCCAAGAGGGCCAAGGCTCGGCTCGGACACGAGGGGTGGCACCGCGGGGGGCGGGGCTTGGGGGCGGGGCTGGGGGCCGCGAGAGGGAAGTTGTTGTGCCCCGGCCCCTCCTGCACGGGTGTTAGAGAGTATGTACTTCCCTACCCGCCCCGCGCGTCATTCAGTGACTCGCCACCACGACTCGCTACCCGTGCATGGCGCGCAGCTGCAAGTGTTATTTGTTTTGGTTTTCCGGCCCCAACGTGTGTCGGCGACGGTTGTTGACTCGCGAGGCCCGCCCCGCGCCGCCGCCGCGGGCGGCCGTTATCGTTTTGGCGTGGAGACCGCCGCGCCGTGTGGCTCTTGAGCCCCGCGCACGTCGCCCATAACCACCCCGCGTCCACTACTATTTTCGCCCGGCAGCACTGTGCACCTGACCCACCCCCAAACACCTCTACGGAGACGGCCGCTTTGGCTGTCGCGGGTTGTTAGGACGTGAGCCGAGGGCGATAATTTCATTTCCTGCCATTCGCCCCCCCCTCCCACTTTCCCCCCGCTGCCCATCTTCACAGTTGCGGAGCGAAGAAGCTCCCCGACGACCAGCCGGTCCAAATCTTTCATGCACTATCTCCGTCCCTTTCTACTTCCTCGTCGTCGCCGGCGTCATCGTCTCGATACCACAGTGCCCGAGGCTCAGCCAGACGAGGTGGCTGATTTCCACCCCTCCTCCCCCCACTCAGCCCCGCCCTTGTCGTCAGTATGATCCAATCAATCAACACTTAGCACTGTTATCAGTTCCAGGAGCCGCACGCCGCCGCCACCGGTGAGCGTCGTGAGCGAGGTTGGATCGTCGTTGTGTTTTTATTATTTATGTTGCATGACGCCGTTGCGCAATGTGAGTGCGCCAGCCACACCCACCACGAGTCATCCCAGGCAGCCCATTACTGCGTGTTGTGTTTTTTTTTTGACGACGCGATCGAGATTTTTTTTCTTTTTTTAGTTTTAAGGTATTTTGTATCACCGCGCGTCATGTTTTCTTTTTCAATTATTTTATCTCGAGTACGTCTTTTGTGTTCTTTGTTGTCGGCTAGGCTAGCGGATGCGCACAGCAGCTCTGAGACGCTTACTCTACTTGGACGAGGCGGGGCGGGGCGTGGCGAGGCGTCCCTCTGTGTTTCATCAGCGGCCCGGCCCGTGGCTGTGTGTTTCACGATGTGTACTGTACAGCGCAGAGCAACGATACGCCGATATACTACCGCATTTCCATACATGGCAGGGATGGGGGAAGGGGGTGGTCACGGACACGCACACGAAAGCTCCTTTAGGAGTTTATCTGAGTCGAGGGTGAAGGAGGAAGCAATTTATTTTCTTCGACACCAATAATTAATAAAAGTCGTTACTTGTGTACAAAAGTACACACACTTCATGACATCATGATAAAATGACTAGATTTCACAAGATTCACCCCACACACTATAGAGAGCACCTTAACAATTTAGCCCTGGAGATAACCCGACTTGTTTTAGAGAGTTCTGTTTGATGTCAATAATGTTCAAGCTTGTGTCTGTGTACGCCGGCAGTTTTAAGGTCGTTTCCCCCTCTCTTGTTGCTGGGCGATTATAATGAAAAGAATATACTGAATTCGACCCGACCAACCTCAAGACAAAATAAGCCAGTCGAAATAACATCACACATTTGCTAAAAACCGAGTTATCCTTCGTAACTCCTCGTCTCGTCGCCTATCAGAGCCGTCCTTTCTTCTGGTTGATGCAGGCGTGCGGGCGTGCGAGCTTGCCTATCGTCGCTCACCGTGGCGCCTTACGGCCCCGTGCGGGTATGCAACGCGCCCGCACGCATGCATCTGGTACAGTATAACTAGAACGGCGCGAATGAACCACCCTGTAGACTGTACGGCATATAGGAGTGCGGGCGGGAAGGCTATTACCTTATTCTTTCGGTCTGCAAAGATGCCGAATAGTAAGGGAGGATAGGCAGACCCGCACGCACGCGTGGACGCTGCGCAGCTCAACTGCAAACATAGACGGGCTCGGACGGGCCGAAGAGGCCCCCTGTTTGGTATTAATGTCCTGCTCGAACGGGACTCCGCTCGGCTCTGCCGCGGGCCCCGGGGCCGGGGACATCTGCTGCCGGGCACGCGGTTCGAGTGTGCAACTAGTGCGAAGCGGCACACGGCAGCCACCAGGCCGTGCGTGAGTTGGGGGAAGGGCTATGGGAGACCGGGTGGGACCCGGCCTGAGCCAAGCCCGCTATCTCGTCTCTCTCCCGAGAGGTTGTTGTCCTGCTGCTGCCCCTCCCCCTCCCCACCCAAACCACTTCCCCCAACCTCCTCTATACAACTGCAATCATGACTCTTGAAATAATATAACACCCGGCAACAAGAAGAACTGAAGGGTAATTCGTTGTTGCATTGTCGCACGTATCAGCGCTCTTCTCGTGGCACTTCTCTCCATGCCCCCCCCCCCCAACAACTCTCTCTGTTCGCTCTTCTCTGTCTCTGTCTCTCTCACTCACACGATCTCCTACCCACCCACCTGTTTGTATACTTTTCCCCCTCATTTTTGCGGTCCCAGGAGGAGGAGGAGGCCCACAGCGCCGCCGTCTCGGCCGCAATTTCGTTGTTGCGTTGGAGTTGTGCTGTTGACCCAAAGGGAATCACTGGGTGGGTCCCAACTCTCTCACCCCCCCCCCTCCA